GACCACAATTTGCTTTACCATCAAAGTCTGTATTTAAACCAGTATAGTGTGTTGGTGAACAAATATGTCGTGACTGATGAGTCAGCACGACTAGGTCCACAGGTCGATGTCAGGAGCCTCTTGTCGGTTGAGCTGATTGTCGGAGCCGACTAGATCCTTGAATCAGGGGGTGGGTTGGTCGATGGCTTGCCACAGGGCGCTAGTCCACGACTCCCGAGGTTGGGTTGCCTTCCTGCAAAAATAGCCTTCGTCGGATGATCCCCGACTTTGGCCCCTCCGACGAGTAAGTCAGTTGTCTCCCTTTTTTTTTCCCCCTGGGTCGAACGTCGGCCAGAGGTCTTTATACTATCGTCCGAGGGTCGATCGTACATGGGTTGGCATGGCGGACGTGCCAAAGTGTGCCTTGGTACGGATTCCGACTTGTCGTGTCTTAGGGGCGACACCGTCTCAGGATTCCCGAGATGTGCTGAGCAACGGCTTAGTACGGATTCTGACCTAGCATGTGACATCGACTGTGACGGACCCAAAATACGCCCTATCACAGTGTGTGCCTACTTGGGAGGAAAATGGTTCTGTTTAATCCAATAATTTACAATGATATAAGACATCAATATTATTTGCAACAATAATAAAAAAATTATTGATTAATGTCCAAGATCTAAAATTACTTGCATAATTACCTAGCAATTTATTTATGATTTTAAATTGATATTTTTTTAGATCATTGGTGTATAGGAGGAATGCTTACAATAAAACCTTATAGGTGAGGGGAAGAATACTTTTATATGAAAAGAACAATTAATAAATAAATAAATAAATTTGATAAAGAAAACGCATGACTATTACTATATGAGAATCATAAATTACAAGATTTTTTTTTTAGATTAAACGTAGGCTAAGGCTCTTGTACATTTTCTCATATAAACCTTTAAATTTTTTTCTCGCTATACAAACGCTATACGACCACTAAAATTGTCTTCATATCTCATGTCAAAATCTTGCGATACATGATATATTTATTTATATAATAAACTCTTTTAATTTTTCCTAATCTTTGCAAACCACCAAGTAAATTGCCTTCCCCATATATATATATATATATATACTACTTAAATCTTGAGAAACAAATAAAATCTATAATATGTAAAGATTTAAACACCTGTAAATAAATCTCAAAAGGTAGAACTTCATCATTCAATGCTATTACTGTCATTGCGTGTGACCCTTGAACTCGAAGAGAACTCATCCTTGATCTCGAAGATGAGAGAACGGTCAAACTGGAGCGAAACTACTGGCACACCGGTGTGTGTTTGGTTTCTGTTGTTATCATCATCATCATCATCACCAAAGGTGTCATTGTCATTTCAGTTCTGGTTAGGAGAGTTGTGAATCTCCTGGAACGACTGTTCAATTCAATCTAGTTGATGTCAAAATGTCCTCATTGTTTGATCTCTTAAGTATAATAATTGCGTCATATTCATCTACTTTGAAGATCTTATAATCTACGACCAGCTTGATCAAATTGATTAGATCCACTAAGTCATAGATCAAATCTAATATATATTATCGGGCTCATTTAATGTTTAGCAAGACGAGACTAGTCCTATTTTTGGTGTCCATTTTATGCATGAATATTCTTTTAATAGAGTTAGACTAAAAGAAAAAATAGAATATAATCCATTACATGAACATTTACCCTAAATAGTCATATCATTTTTTGAATCTCATCTCCGGTCCCACGTACACAGCTGCATCAACCAAATAATGATGAACTACACAATCTATTATGTGTTCTAAGCATGGATGTCATTGTTTCAGACAAATCATTCTATAGTGAAAGTTAATCATTCCATCTATTAAATATCTAATTGACATACTTGGTTTCGGCATTGTTAGGGCACATCGATTAGGGATTCGTTATACCATCAAAAACTTGATTACAATATGATATAAGGGTAGACATATGATCGACATTATGTAATTGACACATCTTATAACGTAACTAACACCTCATTGTTATGTGACTGACTCCTTAGCATCATGCAATCACACCTTAGTGTAAGGTCGAGTGGGTCAAATATTATTATATCCTAAATTTGACATACTGCGATTGTAATTAAGTCTACAAAAATATATCATCTACGATATTCAGAATTTATTATAAAAAAACTCATTAGGTGCATTCCAAAAGCAAACTCTATCTTTCTTAAGAATATAATTCAAATTCTTTGAGTTTTTATTAACTTAGGTATCAAAGGAATAGTATCGGAAGTACCCCGATGTAATTTTAAGGGTTCGACACGATTGGATTAGAGTAAGATGATATTAGTTGAAGTCATTTTAAGATAAGTGCAAAAGAAAGATCTTAGTGAATCAACATCCAATTTGAACAACCAAAACTTAACTTAACATAGCATCAACAAGATAATTTACTTTTCATATAAATTAAAATCTGAACTATCGCTTGAGAAAAATAACCTTATATAAGGGTTATTAAGGTTCAATCAAAAGATAAGTACCAGAAAATAATGTGCCAGTGGTAAAAGAGAAGCGATGGGTGAAAATTTTCTGGGAAAAATAGGATTTACTTAAAGATAACTTAATAATATGAGCCGAGTTGTATGATTATACGTAAAGAACATATTCATACATCCAATCTCGTGAATAAATCACAAACTAATAAATCTCTTTATTATCCTATCATGATATGATAGTTCAAACCTAACATGTGGAATATAAATTCAATAACGAAAAAAATTATATATGCACAATTTTTCTGCCGACGTTTTTGTTTTGTATTTATTTCCCCTGAATAAATAGGTTTTGGGTGGTTCTCAATGGAGTGATTAATGGGGAAACGAAAGAATTGACATATGAACACATTTATAATCCTTTTGCTATTCACAATTTGGACGACGTTGATTGGTCCTTCACCCAATATCTTGAATTGACCACCAAAAGCTTTGGATCCTTAAGTATTTCCAAAATTAAAGATGCTCATAATTGAAATCGAGGTCTTATTTAGGCCACGCATTGGATGTACTGTGTTCTTCCTGGCTCTTATTAGGTTGAGGTCGACATGCATACAAGCTTGACCGTGTAATAGTTGTTCCTTGCACTCCTACGCCATCTGCTATCATGTGAGAAGTAGCGATGGCCTCCCACAAAATATATCGAATCATTCTCATAATGCATGAAGATGTTGACGTTAAGAATAATAGTATTTAAGCCACTTTTCTCGTCGTAAAATAAGATCAGATGTTGATATTAAAAGAACCATGAAGATAATCAATAACAAAATATAAACTCGGAAGGTAGTGAATATAAATTTAACTTCGGCTTAAACCAGAATCGAGTTCAAACCGAATTAGTCAAACATTGTTCTATGAATCTAAGCCCCATTCTTTAATGCATGAACTACTTGTTCTCCCCTTTCCTTGATGTCAAAACTTTGATGATGTGTTGAGTTGTTCGTCATGAATTTTTGGTGTAACCTCAATTCAACTCTTCCTCAACCAGCCCCAAGAAGAAGTCAGTCCTTGTTTGCATTGATTCCAACACCTAACTCTTGGTATGATAGCAACAACAGTGGTTGATTGATCCACCTATTTTGCTTGCCATTGCAACTCAGTTTGAGCCTTTGCTGATTCATAGACCACAATTTTAGATAGTGCTGATTAATCAATTGGCATTTTTAGCATTAGATGATGCTACTGTTTAATTATAAAAAAAAATAAAATTTATTTTTGGATAAAGTCTTGAGATGTGATGACTTTTGCTCCTTAAGTTCTCCATGGATGAGAAATCTCACTCGGATTAATGCTGGTAATCAATGTGCCTCCATATGTTTTTTGTGTTCCTTAAGTTCATATAAATCTCTCTTGCACATGATTGAGGTAGGATTTCATCTTTTAATTCCTATATTGAGATCATTATTATCTGTCTCAAAATTCATGCACAATCTTCGATTATATCTTGGAAAGTGTTAGGAATTATTTGAATATTTTCTTCTCTTTATGTTTTTTAAATCCATACATGTTTTATGTTAGCTACAAAATATCATTGACTTTTTTTAGGAGATATGTATAGATAGTGATGTATGTGACCTTATTTTTCTTATAGGTATATATATATATTCTCTTATTTTTACTTTCTTTTTTTCATATAGGTATGACTTAAAATGATTAAATAATTAAATAATTTTAAAGTTCAAAAATAAAAATAATATCACTCAGATGAGATTGTTCTGTAACCTAAGGCTCAACGCTAGTCTCTGTAGCTAACTAACCCTTAAGCTATCTGAAAACATCAACTCTTTCAACTTTATCGACTTAAGCATTGGAGGAATATTTATCGAGTACGCCCTAAAAAAACATATCGAGTCCCCACTACTCGAGTCTTCTGATCCAAATAATTAATATACGAGATAATTAAAATATCAAATACTAGAAAAAAAATCCATCGATTTTTCCTCGTTAGCTAACCGACATGTATTAGCTAACGATAATAACATCCCATGGGAACCCTCAATTGGGCCACATGGAAAGAACCATCCGAGCTCGGCTTGACCCAATCCATCTAAATCACGAGCCCGACGAAGCTCTCAATCCAACTTCGTGCGATATCATATGAGTCGATAATACAATTATACACTTAAGTCTTTCTGCCTCTTCTCCTATCTCTTAAACTACTAATATCTAAAGCATGCGAATCATATTACATTACGACCATGAAACCGATCACCGCAATTATGTGCCATTTATGTAGCTAAAACCCAATCAGAAACTTGCTTCCACGCGCAAGCATTTGCTGAAATGGCGTCCATGAGTGGCCACTACGAGCTTCAATTCCTTCTCTCTCACCCTCACTCATCGAACGTTAGACTCGCTAGTTATGAACGATTCAATGCTCTTCTCTCCCCCCACAAAGAAGAGGTCTCCACCACACTCTTCATAAGTACCTCATTCTACCCTTTCCTCCTCTCCTCATCAGCTCCTTCTCTCCTCTCACCTCTCCGCAAGATGAGACCTCTCTTCTCCCTCTACCTTGCCGTCCTCCTCACCACCTCCGGTGCCTCCCCCACGGCCGTCCAGCAGCAGACCTGCACCAGCCCCGCCACCGTCGAGGACGCCTGCAAGCTCGTCGCCAACAAGCAGGCCTCCGTCGGCTACGACTTCTGCGTGAAGTCGCTCGGCAAGGTGACGTCGCTGTCCGGGTCCGTCGACCTGCGAGAGATCGCCGTGGTCGCGACGAGGCTGGCCGTCGACCACGCGGCCAGCACCGAAGCCAAGATCGAGGAGCTGATGGACCTGGAGACCAACCCCAAGGTGAAACGGTGCTTCGGCGCTTGCTTGGACGTGTACGGGGACGCGGTCGAGCACATGAAGGACGCGCTCGACAACCTCTCCAACCGGCTCTATCCGAGGGCGTCGGCGTTGGTGGGCGGCGCCGTCAACGCGCCGGACAAGTGCGAGGAATCCTTCAAGGATACCAAGGGATCCTTTACTTTGGCCGCAGTGGACAAGGATTTCGGCAGGTTGGCCAGCATCGCCCACGGCATCATCGTCTCCTTGGAGTGATTTGTTTGTTTCAAGCCTTTCCTCAATGTGTTCGACCTAATCTCTTCTTTCTTCCGTTTACGTCTTGGTAACTGAGAGCAAGAGTTCATGTCATTTAGCATAATTCACACTTTATTATTTGTTATAGAGTTAATGACTTTCTATTATTCCCTTTAGCTCGACTCCTTTTCCAAGCAAAAGAAGGAAGAACATACAGCATCCAAAGAGTTACGTGATCTTAATCTTGATCCTTACTTCGATCCTTTGACGTAGCTATAGGAGTCGTATATGTGTGATGAACGTTGTGTGAGTGGAAGGCTGGGATTAAAGAGGAGCGGCAGATGGCACGCATCGGAAACTCTTGCATGTCGCTCTCTTTGCAAGTGTCGATGGACGAAGTCCGTGACCTCCTGCTTTATCGCCCGCCGTTACGTACCCTTCCTAATTGGAGAAGGAGTTGCGGGCCGCACTGTGGTCTTTACTGGCCTTCCCACTGCAGCAACAGCACAAACACCATTGCGCATACATAGTGTGGTTTTGGTTGACGCCTGCCGGCGCCTGACGGGACCCACGCCCGACGAGCGGGTTTAGTGGTCGACGACAGTGGGTCCCATTAAGGGCCGCGCTTGGAGACGATCCCGCCGCCGAAACGTAGGACGCTTATCACCATGGCGCCGGCCATGACTGGTTCTCCGGAGACGGCCCTGTCGCCGGCCATCCCCAGCGATGACGACGGCTCTGGCCGTCCCTTATGGCAAGCCTTTGTTCTATGTCGACCAATCCATCCCCATGTTTTCTCTTTCGTCAGATGCTCTTTGGTCCTCACCTCACTTTCATTCTCGCCCGCTCGTTAGCCGATGCTTCTAATTATTTATTTTAAATCTTTCGTTTATAAAAGTATAGAACCTCCTGGGAACTCGAGACTCGTTATAGAGGCAGATACTTTCCTCTTCATTCTTCCCTTCACCCGCTCTACTCATCTTTCGAGGAGGAGGAGAGATAAAAGAAAGAAAAAAAAATTAGATTATATCGTATTAAGATATATTATAGATTTAATTAAATTTTAATTATGATTATTGATCAATAAAAAATCTAATTATAATAGAATTTTACCTTAATGTGAGGGACTTTTCTAATTAATTATTTTAGACCTCTGTTTTCGTCTATCAAATAACAACATCTGTTATGGATTCATATAGAAACAAACAGAGACATAGATATATGGATACGTAGATAAGAGGAGATAGAGATATGTGATATTATTATTATATATCTTCTCTTATCTTTACATATTATATATCTTCTCTTATATCTCCTTAATCATATAAGTGAAAGATTATAAATTTTCTCTCATCTCTCCTTTGTCCGTAATTCATTGCTCAAAACGGTCTTGTGAATGATAAAAAGAGAGGAGAAGACGAGTTTGATTCTTCTTATAGATTGATATCGCTAGAGCTTTTGGATTGATGACGGTGCACCCATAGATCAGATAAAAGCTTCTTGACAAGATAAATTACAAGGGGCATTTTTAACCGAAAGGGTTAACAGTATTATGATACATATAATGAAGTATGACATTGATGATATATAATTATTGTACTCACATTAGTTATTAGACTTAATGTATTATTATGTTTATTGGACTTATTAACCTATTTTATAAAAATTCGTACGTATATGTAAAATATTTTTTTAATTTCATAATCTAATTACATAAAATTATTTTTAAATAAAATTTTATTTTAATTATTTTTTATCTTACCAATTAATGACTCACATTGATAATAAGACTTAATATAGTATTATGTTTATTAGGCTTATTGGCCTTTGTTATAAAATTTATGTGCACATGTAAAATATTTTTTCAAAGTTTTAGAATCTAATTAAATAAAATTATTTTTAAATAAACTTTTGTTTATTTATTTTGATCTTACCAATTAATAAGTTAAGTGGGAGAATATTAGATTATGTTACTTTATCTAATTAGGTAAAATATATTATAAATATGATTGGATTGGTAATCGACCAATAGAAAAAAAATTTAATTATAGTAAGATTCTTTAGGAGATGATCTTGATGGAAGAAACTCTTCTAATTACTTATCCTAGACCCTCTACTCTAGGCTACAGAATGACAAGACCTCATAGGGATTTAGTGTGGAGGCAGATACATAAATATGTAGATATGCAGATAAGAGGAGATAGGGATACGTGATATTATTGAGAGATTATGGATCTCTTATCTCCCTTTAATCATGTAAACTAGCCAACGAGAAATTACATATCTTCTTTATTTCTCTTTTGTCCTAATTCATGGCTCATAGCGGTCCTATGAAGGATAAGAAGAGAGGAGAAGACACGTCTAGTTCTAGATCGATATCGCTATAGCTTTCAGATTTGATCTTCTCTCATCTCCCATTTGTTTTTGTCTACTGTTCATAGTGGTCCTATGAAGATAAGAAGAAAAAATAATATGAGTTTAGTTCTACTAACGCTATAGCTTTTGGATTCTAAGATGGTGCACTTACAGATGAATAAAAGCTTTTTGAATGACATCAAAAGGTATATGTCAGAAATATGATATATTATTATTTGATTTCAGATTTTAAAATTATTATTTTTTGTATAACAGAAGCTTAAAATGGTTTTTATGCTAACAGCGGATGGTAAGGGGGCTTGACCCAACCGCGCTGGTGATGTTGTCGGTAGTGACGCACACCGAAGCCGCAGGTGGTAGAGAGGGGATGGTTGGGCTAGAATGCATTGTGTGCCTGACTGAGTTTGACAACGACGACACCCTTCAGGTGCGTGGCCATAGGTTTTCGTCGGGTGCACTAAACCATGGCTCATCGGGCACTTCACGTGTCCGATGTGCTCCTTGGACCTAGCGGTGCCGTCGTTCGAACATGTCATCATCCGGTGTGATGGGAACTTAGTTTTAAGTTGATCATAAAAATGAAATATTATTATTATTATTATTTGCTAATGTGTAGTAGATAATTATATTGATTTTTTTTCTTCTATTTTTCGACCTGATGAGCAAGTGATAAATGAATCTAAAAGTGAGGAAAAAAGCTCTCAAGAAAAGAAAGCAAGGTTTTTTAAGTCACACATTGTGGCAGCATTTGTTACTTTAATCGAAAATTTTGTAGAAACAAAATCTGATCTGATAGTATAATACATAATATGCAAGACAAGTGATCCTCCTCACTTCACGGAATTTGTAGAAGCGAGGTTTGGAATGCTCGACGGAATCCTCCTCAGAAGCAGAAACTTCATCCATGTTTCGATAGAGAATTTAAGTGATGAAGCAGCTACTTCATTACTGGCATCTGAAACTGTTGCATCCTCCATGGATGCCAACTGAGCTATCAACCACTTGTGAGTTGAAGTACCAGAATCTGCTTGACGTTTACTGTCGTCTCATCCTCGACCATCACTTTCCTTTCAATCTCAAACTGAAAGGACACTGTTAAGAGCCTAATTTTAAGAGATCGTCACTGTTTGAGACCAAATGGCAACACTCTTTGTTCGTACCTGAAATCCTGCTGTTCTTGCCAGAATGATACCGACAATTCAATGTTAAGACATAGTAATAAGAAGAGGTATATATATTTGACGAAACAATTATAGAAAAATATCAGCATTTACCAACATGAAGAGAATTGCAACCATGAGAGATTGAAACTAATAGATGCAGAAATCTATGCAGAAAACGAGTGTATCACATCATATGACTGTGTTCACCAAGCAAAAACAATGGATTGATCAGGAACTCACAGATGATCTGTGATCAAAATGTCTTCAGGAAAACCAACATCAAAAAATTGGTACCAGTTGTGTCTATATTAATGGAAAGCTGCTGCTTGATGTTTTTTGCTGTTGAAAGCATGAACAGTAACCCTGCTCAATCATCCACCGGGCATTTTTCATGTAGAGAGGAGTTTAAGCCACAGGATGCTGACCATGGTAGGGTGGAAGGGGAGACAGGTGCAGCTTCTTACTAGTGCAGCATCCACTGAGAAATATCATCTCGGAAAACACCTGCCAACCCTCTTCTTTGCTGGAATGATATACCATAAGGTGTGGAGCGGGATATGTGCCTCTGTTGGCAATTCCAGTCCATGGAATTTCTCGGCTGCAGCATCATGGACATGGATGGAAAGGAAGTCGACCTTGAGTTCAAGGGAGTGAATAGCACTCGTCCATCAGATTTTTTTGGGGCCTTGTTGTTGGCCTCCTTTGCTCCAAGAGGCTGGCTAGAACTTGCAGCATGCTTTGAAATGTTGTTCGTGCTGGTAGGTTCCTCCAGAACTGGTGGACATATTTCTGCTGAAGGTTTCATGCGATGGAGCCAACGGAGGATCCAGTTCCCCAGATTCCTACCTACTTCTTTGTCCCTTTGCTGTATGTTTTTGTGAACTTTGACTGCCACATCGAACACACTTCGTGTGCGCCTGAGAAAAGCAAAAGACAAACTTGGGAACTATGATACGTCATAAAAATGATTTTCGATTAATAACTATTCAGAAGAGGCACAATAAAGATAGTTCCTATAGTCTACAAACAACAAAGGCGAGTGCCTGCTAGCATGCTCAATAGCATTCTTAGAGACCAAGGAAATTTGAACAACTGCATTTCAATGAAAATATGAATAACTCTTGCCACCATCAAATGGGGGAAAAAGGAGAACAGTATTCCATCTAGAAGATTTTGTCAAACTAGAACTTCAATATCATTCATTGGATGTTCTAGGTTTTAATTAAATGAGGTTGCAGATGGACCAGAACTTCAGTATCAAAGGCATATTATTCAAACGACGCAGGGCATTCTTAATATCCAATTCATACTCTTGTCCTGTTCTTAATATCTCACTTTACAAGTTTTCCTTTTATATTGCTAAATACACTAATACGTTTTTTGAAAGAATAAAAATACACCAATATCAGTCCTCTTTTACCCTACTATACAAGAAAATAATTAAGATTAATTGTTGCAGTGAAAATCAAGAATCAACAAAAAGCTGAGATTAAAATCTTCCTGAAAAAATTTTAATTTCTGGGAAGAAAGAAATATCCTGATTTTACAATTAGAACAAACAAACGATACATTATGCAATTTCTTCTAATTTACCACTCAGTGAGTAAACTAGGCTTTTAAGAAAAAATATTATTTTATCAGGAAAGGCAATATCTTGTAAATTTTGCAACTCAGAAATGACCATCAAACTGAATCCATGAAGTAAGACAAGATGGACATTGGAAATTATTTCTCACTAATGTGATAATTGTTTGGAGCCCTAGAAGAGGCTAGGCTTTTTCCTAAACTGTCATCACCTTTTTCTCAAGTTCAGGCCCTTGTCAATTCCCTGTGATGGTTCCCTAACTATGGAATTTTTCATAATAGAAAATTGCTGAAAGAAATTTATCATAAGAAACATTTAACAGCAAAAGAATGTTGCAATTGATAAATTTTGTTAAGTGGAAAGACAATCTTAAAACAAAGAGATTTTATATGGTCAGTAAAGAAATGTAACGAAGATGAAAGGAATATTAACTGTGAAGGAAAAATAAGTGACTACAAAATATTCCCTTCAACCAATTAAGATCTTTGCAAAATTCTTTTACAGTTTACTAAACTAAACCTTTCTCGATGCTAAATCTACCTAATGATATTCATAATTTGATTCAGATAGTGACTTCTACCTTATGGTGTCAACTTTTTCTCCAGCTAAGCAAAATCTTGAAACTTGCATTGTATAGTCTTGCATGTCTTCCTTGTACATTTGGCCTTAGCGACCTACAATTGAACTACTAGTCGAATCCTGTGTCCAAATCCTATGGTCCCCAACTTCTAATATGGATACTAGGAAGTTGGTAACTTACATCCTTTAACCAAGGTGCATGCCTCTCCTTGGCCTCATGCCTAGCTTGTAAGAGAGCTTGGAGCCTCAATATGCACTGAACCTTTAACAACTCTGAAACCAAAAAATGACTAGAATGACCAAGAAAGAACAATCTTCTATGCAAATATCGTAGCAAGCCTATTAGCAGTTACCTCAACCATTAGAGATATATAATTTTGCAAGAAGCATATTTGACTCAATTGGAAAAGCAAAAGCATCAAATACAGTATGTCACCAATCCTCATCACTAGTGCCCCTGAACTACTGCATGACTCTTAAACTGATGAATTTACTGATAATTTTAGATGTACTTGTCACCAATATGAAAGGCCTAACAAAGTCCAATAATTATGTATCAAAGAATCTGAATAATTTCTTATCCTAATAGCTGCAGGATTCTGCTACCATCTTAAAGTTAAAGAGAAAGCATGAGTCATCAGCAAGGCCATTCAAAAGGACCATAATGTACACTCCTTGATTTCCTTTTCAGAATGAGGGGTTGGCTATATCATATCCCATACTAACTACCAAACCTACCCTCAACCATTTGAACTCCCCAGCAATGCTAAAATGCAGAGTCCTAAGTTTGCAGAGAATGACACAGCATAAATCTACACCACTTATTCAACCTGACCATAATCCTTTTAATAGCTATTGTTGGATTCACACCGAACACCAACATTCAAATACACGATCAATTTATTGGAGTAAAACCTTAGACTTGTGTTCTCAATTGAAACCTACATGATCAGGAGAAACCTTATAATTGGCGAACTATACGTCTCAAAGAATTTGATAACCTCAGTTGGAGACCCATCAAGAAGTAATGTGCATCTGAACAGACGACGTCTACAGCAATACTTATTGTTACGGACATGTATCAACCACTACCACGGCTAAGACTAAGCACTTACATCATCTCTTACTCTTCCTTAAATTCACATCCATCCATCCATCAAAAGTCAAGGTTTTTAAGCAAAAAGACGACATCATTTTACTGCAACAATTGTAATCTAAAAATAATTTCTTGTTCATATAATAAAAGAATCGATCAACAGCCATCCCTTACATAGTTGGTATTCCGAAATAGCCGCAGAAAGAGGGGGGGGGAACAGATTTTTGTTCACTTTAAATCTTCCGGAGGAAACTAAAGAACGATTACAACAAACGTAAAAGAAGAGAACCTGTAGAGGAATTGGCGGGTCCTGGGATGATTGGGGCCGACAAGGCGGCGTTGGATTCGGAGAGCGAGCCGGTAGGTTCGCTTGAGGCCCAAGAAGTAGGCGGTGATCACCGTCATCTCCCACAACACCATTTCCCCTTCCACTATTACTCCGCTCCGTTGCTCTCTTCCTCTTTTCTCGTGACTTCCTTGTTCTCCTCTTCGCTTTAATCAACTGGGCGGCGGCGCGGCGGCGGCGACTGATGACTCGAACGGGATCTGTCGTCTCGTTCCAGACCTGCCCCGATGCCACCTACAAAGTTCTGTTTGATGGTTTAATATATCGTCCGTTATATGTATGTTGTATAGATCACCCGTTATAATAACCATAACAACAGATACTTTCTATTTAGTTAAATATTGTATGTGCAGTTAAATGATCGAAGAATCGAGTCCCTTCAGAAGACCTCAATGCACATAGTTATGCAGAACATAACAAAGAGGATGATGCATGACACAATAATCCAATTCTTTCTCGAGTGTCCGAATGCATAACCGGGGAGGTGTTTGATGAAGTAGATGGTGTGACTCCATGAAAATTAGAATATCAAAGAATTAATACTGGGACACGATCTAAAGTCTTTATAGAGATGGCCCAATTGAGGTATCAATCATATTATTTGTTCTTGCTAGGCAGCAACATAATCTTTGTCTTTGATCCCACACCACTTGAAGCATTGGATGCTCCAGTAGAAACATACCTGTTCTTCATGAGGGCAGCTAAGCTGAGTTAGCATTAAGAGTAGAAATCGATATATCATGGAGTAACAGTGATCGATAACACCGAATTGCTATACAGGAGCTATGGTGATTCACAAAGAAGATATAATCAATATAAAAGACAGATGTTGGAGATGTATTTTTCACGAGTCATAACCCAATATAGAAGTCCATTTTGTACCGTGGAGAAGCACAGTACAAAATAATGACCAATTGGTACTTGCAGGATTAGTGATGCTATACAGGACCCAGGAGGCCTCAAAACAGAAGAACATATATAAGACAAAGAGTGATCCAACACGTAAGTTTACATTCTATATAAATTCTCTTCAGCAAAAGCAACAGGATAGTAAACTGCCTAAAGATAATACAAAGTAGAACAGAGCCTCTTACACGTCTGTTTGACTCGCTATTGAGCAGCAACAGCTATGCAACTTACCAACTGCTTCCCAGTATCCACCAACAACTACACCAAGGCATGCCTTCTCAATGCCTATTCGTCTCCGATGTGAGATGTCCCATCTGCTCTGTGAGGTGGTCCATGTTGGGAGAACTGCCCCAGTCATCCCCTGATTCTAGCCTCATTTCCTCAGTTTCATGTATGCCTGAGTCTACCTCTTCAGCATCTCCTAATAGTGGGCTGGCAGTAAGGAATTGCTCCCAGAAAGGATCATTTATGCTCGGAAGCTTCTCATCATCATTTAAGATATCCACATCGGTATCAAAAGAAAACTTTTCAGTATCAATTCCTGCCAGTTGATCCATGAACTCCGGGTTCATAGGAATGTTTCCTCCAGTAGGTCCTATGTAGCTATGTAATCCATTAGGCATTGCAGACTGCCCCTCAGAAAGTTTCAACGTACCATTAGCAGTATGTGATGGAGCAACAGACCCAGCCCCTGTATTCATATTAGGCATTTCAGTTGTTGCAACCATATCTGCTACAACGGAAGAAGATTGAACATCAGATGGCACAGAAGAGGGCATTGTTGAATACCCAGAGTTCGTAGGCAAAGATGGAAAGCCCGTACTTGCAGGCACTTCAGATAGAGTAACTCCAGATATCCTCTTTAAAGAACTCCTGCCATCAAAAGCTTCCACAGGTGAAGAAAAATTCTCAAGCAAAAGGTTCTGGGAGTTGCCAAAAGATTCCAACCTAGGAGACGTATCAAACTTTAAAATCTGCATCAGCATTGCTTTTGCTGCTTCATTTATTAAGGGCTGGTATTTAATTATTTGACCATCGTGGACAGCACTTTCGCCATCCACTTTATTTTCTTGCCTAGGCAGTCTTCGTTTTTTGTTTACTCCAACTATGCGTCGATTGCTGTCATTTTGCTGTACCAACTGGGCTAAGAAGCCAGGGCTCTGCATGGCTTTTGCCAAGAATGACATCATCTGTTGCTGCCGCTGCTCCATACCTTGAAGGCGCTGACCTAAGGTGTTTAATTGCTGATCAGTGGCCTGCTGCTGCTGCCTCAGCCTAACCAGTTCCTGCATGAGTACATTCTTGTCTCTCTTGAGCCTCTCAATCTCCTCTTCCATCCCAAATTTCCCCACCTCAATGCTACTCTGTGTTTGAGGCTGTTGTTGTTGATTGTGTGGATGGGTTGATTTTCTCCTACTGATGTTCTTCAACAAGTGTTTTTGACCTCTCAGGAACCCCTCATTGGCAAACTCCCATTGATCAGGATCAACCTTTCTAAAACCCTGCATAAGCAATAAAAGGAGTGAAAAAAAAAACAATTTTTAGTTCTTTAATGCATAAACACTCACAAGCAGACCCTGATCCAACATTCTCAACAACAACAAGCCATGAGGACTTAAAAAAGATATAACCAAACCATCCAGCAGTGTGATACATACAGTCTTCACCGTTCCAATGGAGGACCGATACATGGGGTAGACAAACTTGACCTATACAGGGCCAGCATACATGATACTGACTGTTACCAACTTGGTACCGCCGATACAAGTGGGGTACCAAGCTTACCACTCGATGGAACCAACGGTTTAAATAGGTGCCCAGGTGCTCACCGCCCAAGCGCCTCAAGAATGGGCCAAGCGATGCGCTTCGGTGAGGTGCTACCTAGGCACTCACCTGAACCCAGGCGCCCAGGTGCTCGTCGCCCGAGCGCCTCAAGGATGGGCCAAGCGATGTGCTTCAGTGAGGTGCTACCTAGGCGTTCACCTAAACCCAGGCGCCAGGCGCCTCAGGTGAGCGCCCAGTTCAAATGGAGCAACCGAACTAGACTTTAAGTCTGGTTCGATTCAACAGTGGCTAGTTAGTTCGATTGAACCAATTAGCCACTTTATTACCCGCAAAAGACACCTCCCGCACCACCGTGCGACCCCAAGCCATCAACCCTAGCGTAGCTTTTGCCTTCGCCGCCAATGCTTTCTGTTGCTGCCTCTGCCGCGGACACAGCAGACCGAGGCTTCCTCTGTTGTCGACGGACAAGTCCGATGGCCTTGCCTTGGTCCCCAGCTTCCTTCCGCCGCCGCTGCTTCCACGTGCAACTCCTTCCACCGTTGAGGGAGAGAACCGCAGCTTCCTCCGCCACCGACGGATACCTTTGAAGCTTCCGCCGCCCACAAAGTCGTCGTTCATAGCTTCCGCCGTTGCCGTTGCTATCATCAACAGTTGTCGCTGTTGCCATTTACAGTTTCCTCCACCACCATCGCTGTCGTCCGAAAATTCCACTGTCGGTAACTTTTTCTCCCCCTCTTAATAGTTATTTTCTCCCTGTTCGAAAGTTCCACTGTCAAAGCACATCGCTTCGCTCGGGCAAGCGCCTAGCGCTTTGGGCATTTTGGGATCTTGGTGCCCTTTGGCACCTAGCGCTTTTTAAATCACTGGATAGAACCCTGTACAAGTCTGCACTAGGGGGTGACCATACATAAGTAATGAGGCAACCCAACAAACCATTGGGTAACCCGTTGGAGGGGTTTTGGGAGGCTAGAAAAAGCACCCAAATAATATTGAATGTTATGTGAGCTCAGTGATTTAAAAAGCGCTAGGCGCTCCCCCGAGCGAAGCGAGGCGCTAAAATATAAAAAGATATAATATAATTAATAAATATAATTATTTAAATAAAAAAATATGCTATTAAATTAAGAAAATCGGGTACAAAATCACAATGTCACATTAATAAAAAGTCTCAAATATCAAAACAATAAAATTTTACATCAAATCTATTGAGTTGCTCTGTACACTTGCCATTTATTCTGAAACCCAACAATAATTTTAAATAAATAAAAAAATTAATAATATTAAAATTAAAATAATATATTATTAATCTAATAAATAAAAATACTATTATTAGTATACAGTTAGCAGTATACTATTAATATACTGTTAACAGTATAGTGAGAAGAGTGTGAGAAGACCGAGACAGTCGGCGAGCAGCGATTGTGGCAGCGGCGAGTAGCGACGAGCAGCGACAGTGGCAACGGCAACAGAGAAGAAATCTCGACGGCAAAATCGCGAGTGTTAGGGTTGGGGAATTCGGAGAAATCGTGAGAGGGAGCCTGATATCAGTGATTTAGTCGGTTCGATTGAACCAACTAAAGCACCGGAGACCAACCAGACCTAAAAATCTGGTTCGGTCGCCTAGTTTAACCCAAGCGCTCGCTCGAAGCACCCGGCGCCTGGGCTCGGGCGAGCGCCCAAGCGACACCTCTTTGAAGCGCACCGCCTAGAAATGAAGCGAGGCGCTCGGGCCTCGCCTCGCCTCGCCTCGCCCGAGCGCCTATTGTAATCACTGTGTGAGCTGTTTCTTGCTGACTCCTGCAAAGTCCTACAAATGCACTATATCAATATAAATCTCATCAGATCGAGAACCCCGAACCACTGTCCATCAACTCGCGTCATTTATTTTGGTAGTCGGAACATCATAAGGACTTCAATCTGAGGTACTAGACTCGTATCGATACTAGATGTACCGATATGAGTCCGAGCAACTTAATTTGATTGCAAATAACCATAAAAATGGGGTTTTTTTTTCTTGATTTCCAGTCCTTTTTTAGGCTAACCTTGAAATCCAGTATGCACCTATGTACATATACTGTCCCTCAACTCACGCCATGTACACTGATACAGACCAGTACAAGACTGGTACATGAGATTAAAACCCCTGGATCCAACCATTTTGAACATAACAACATGCAAAAATCTGAGCAAGTCCCAAAACCCACCTTATATACCATTTATTATACAAATGAAACTCAGAAAAAAAAAGTGCATACATTTACAGCCTTAAGAAGACACCAAACTGTTTTAAGTCTGTTGAAACAAATGACACCACATAACAATATGTTTTGTAGACAAAGGGACCTTGTTATAAGCCTGTTGAAACAATATCCTACACCTCCTACATTGATCCTCTCCTCCTACTCCTCTTCTCCTTCTCCTCCCCCCACCCCACCTTCCCTTTTTTTCATTGATGCAAACATATATGCCAGCGTACACTGCGTTAGTTCATCAGTATGTATCAGACTCATACCAATTCCAAACCAGGTCTAGAACTGACT